GATAGATAGATAGATAGATAGATAGATAGATAGATAGATAGATAGATGTGAACAGAATAAAATAAACACACGAATTAACATGGCATTACAGAAATTTGCTCATATTTCTCATACATTTCTTAAGTGGGATTGAGTTGTGGTTTCATTTATGCATACAAATATGTTTACAAAACATATACGACACAGTTTAGAGAGTCTCCAGAGTCTTAAATTCTTCACATTTCCAAACAAAACGATCCTGTCAGTGATTCCCTTCCAAAGTTAGACTTTGGTGCTCTTATTGTGAAAGGCTAACCGCCTCAGCTTCCGGTGAATGCCTCGTGCCGTCCCAGTGGCCTCAGCAGCTGCCGGCAATGACGCTGTGGTCCAGGCCCCGCCCACATTATTCCACGCACTGCCCTCTGATTGGTCCACGCGTTTCGAGCGAACCCAGTGCTACTTTTGGCCGAATCTGATTGGTCCACGTTCAGAGAGCGGGCGTTTCTTTGGATGACGTCACTTGGATGACAAAAAACAGTGAAAATTCGCCTGTTTTCACTTCTTAGAAAAGACTGATGCTTCATTAGACGTAATTTGACCCACTTTATTTTTCTTTTATGTGAACTTTTAAATTAAATACATGTATTTTTATCAAAACGAGATGAAGAACAAACTGCCTTTTGCTATTTCAGATGTAATATTTATGTTATTTGTTTGGTTAAACCCTCCATCAACTTGTTTGAAGTGATGTTAAATGTCCATTATTTGTAATATGTGATATTCTAAGATACATTATAGTCATGCAAAACTTCCAAAAAGCCAACATACCCAAGCTGGAAACTTACACAAGGAGGCAAACAATATATTATTTCCTAATTAAAAGTCAGCCAGATATCATTGAGCCTCAGGGTCACATGACTTGAGTAGAGTATCACCATTTATGGGATGTTTGCAAAACAGGAAACACCAACGTTAGCAGATATTATCCTTCAAGTTCTAACAGGCTTATTTCAAAACACATCTTTCCATGTGGCTTCACCTTATGGAGGTTTTGTTTCTACACAGGTCTCCCCAGTTTTGCTAAATCCAGCCCCAGAGGGACCCCCTTATTTAACCCAAAACAGCCCCAGCTCTCTGAAAATCCCCCAAAAATCCTAAACCACACCTGTTCTGTCTCCAACACCTCCGATCGAATGGAAAACACAAAACCGAGCAAACCTCTTAGCTTCTCCTTCTCTTTCTTCATGTGAACGCTGTGAGGATAAACGCAGCTCATCTTTAATTTTTTGTTTTGGTAAAATAAATAAACAAAACAAAAAAAAGATCCACATTTTTGGAGTAGCCTGAGAAACCTCTTGGATACAGAGACTTTACAGAGGTTCGACTTTACATGTGGGAGATGTTTGCAGTGTCCAAAACAGAAGCAACTTTACAGAATTTTAATGTTTTAGAGCACTGGGAGCACTGGGAACACTGGGATTAATGACAGGGAGCTGGGCCCTTACAGGCCGACATTCAGAACGACACCCAGTGTTGTTCTGGTCCAGAGGAGGTAGTCCAGGTCCAGAGGAGGTGGACTAGAAGAGCTGGACTAGAGGATCTGGACCAGAGGAGCTGGTCCAGGTCCAGAAGAGGTGGTCCAGGTCCAGGGGGAGCTGGACCAGGTCCAGAGGAACTGGACTAGAAGAGCTGGACTAGAGAAGGTGGTCAAGAGGAGCTGGACTAGGTCCAGAGGATCTGGACCAGAGGAACTGGACCAGGGGAGCTGGTCCAGGGGAACTGGACCAGGGGAGCTGGACCAGGTCCAGAGGAGGTGGACCAGGTCCAGAGGAGTTGGACCAGGTCCAGAGGATCTGGACTAGAGGAACTGGACTAGAGGAGTTGGACCAGGTCCAGAGGAGGTGGTCCAGGGGACCTAGATCAGAGGAG